AAAATATTTGACGAGAAGAGTGACACAAGAGTGTGTGCACCGAGAGGAAACCATCAGCTAAGGAATTATGACAGATGGACACAATTAAAACGGCAGTTTCCATTCAGGTCGTCCCAGGCTGGAGGGTGCCTCAGGGGCACAGATGGGTCCTGCTTGAGGGAGCAGAGGGAGCAAGAGGGAGTGTCTACTGCAGGGAAAGCTAAGAATAGAACTCTTCGTCTGTTTTACGTGTTGGTGCTACCCTAAAGCTGGTCAGAAACAATTAAAATGGTTAGAAAACCTTGAAAGGCTTGAATGAAGGTAAACTACATAGCAACCGTCATTTCACATTTGATAAGTTTTTCAAAAAAACTGAACAGGACGGTGTTCTAAAATGTTGATATGCAAAAGCCTGAGAAACAAACATAGGAGCCAGAAACAAAGCAGATCCCAAGTGCATCTTTAATTTGCTTCTTTAGCACAGCATTATTACTATCTTTTGTCAGTTATTATCCACATGACTTATTCTACTATCAGCACTTTCACCTGTGTTGTTATAAAGATGATTTTGCTTTACAGATTCATGAAAGAGGATTGGAGAAATAATTAGCGTCCTGTGTACCGACCATAAAATTCATGGCAGCAAAACCTAATGGTATTATTCATAATATTATTTTCACTAAAAATTGATTTTAGCTTACTAAAATTAACCTTAATGAACTTCACTTATTACTAATATTTATTATTAGTATTATTTTACTAAAACTTTAAAACTAAAACAGATGGTGGAAATGGCTATCATCTCATGTCATTGAGCAACATTGCAAGTTACTCTGCAAGAGGCAGGCCAGCACAAAAAAGACAAAGAGGGAGAGAAAAGCAAAAGAAGGGAAGGGAGAAAAAGGTTAGGCCTAAGTAAATGTTTTGAAAGTGATTAACACACAAGTATTAACTCATTCAACAAATATTTAGTGAGTACCCCCTGCGTTTCAGGCATCATATGAAAAGGTACAGATAGGCATGAAAAGCTTGACAAGAGAAATTTCAAATGTAGGTCACAGATAGTATCAAAAAGTAGGGAAGACACAAAACTTTTTAACTACATCCTGGGTAACGCAGGAGATAAAATATCCACGGCAAATTTTTTAAAGTGCTCAAAATATGGTGTGTTTATGAGATGTTTAGAAGGGGTAGAAGCAATCGCAACAGAAAAGATTTCTTGTGTAGGGGCAGTAAGTAGGGAGGAGGGAGAAAACAATGTTCTATGTAAGTCTATAAGTCTGTTTATTTAACATCCCTTGAAGGAAATGTGACAAAACTGAGAATAAATTGAAACCATTTTCTTAAATAGAGTTAAGAAGCTAACGCAAGCTAGAAAGGTTAAAAAAAAAAAAAAGGCTTTTTATACTTTTAAAGCTAAAAGGAATTACAAAGAACATCTAATCCAGAACATTAATTTTGTCCATAACTGGAGTGTAAAGAACAACTTTCCTGAAGCCACATGGTGATAACTTTATTATTTTTAATTGTAGATCAAAATATATATATAGGGGTGCCTGGCTTTGAGCCCCACGTCGGCCTCTGTGCTAACATCTCAGTGCCTGGAGCCTGCTTCCAATTCTGTGTCTCCCTCACTCTCTGCCCTCCTCCTGCTCATGCTCTGTCTCTCTCTCTCTCTCAAAAATAAATAAACATTAAAAAAAAGAAAATATTTAAAATACATATACAAGAATTACAAAATCTCTATAGAAAAATTAAATATTCCATATCAACTAAAATTTTTAAAGAATCTCACACAGACTAGAGCCATTCAATACTTTGGTGTATATTAATTCTACATTTTGTGAGAGAAAGAACAAGAGAGAGACAGAGAAGTTGGGTGGGATGAATAGAAACCATATCCACACAAGAATGGCATCACACTAATCACAGTGATTTGTAAGTCCTTCATATAATATTTTTCTATATCCATGAGTACACATAACTTTTTTAAAAACTATTAAAATTATGGGGCGCCTGGGTGGCGCAGTCGGTTAAGCGTCCGACTTCAGCCAGGTCACGATCTCACGGTCCGTGAGTTCGAGCCCCGCGTCAGGCTCTGGGCTGATGGCTCGGAGCCTGGAGCCTGTTTCCGATTCTGTGTCTCCCTCTCTCTCTGCCCCTCCCCCGTTCATGCTCTGTCTCTCTCTGTCCCCCCAAAAATAAATAAACGTTGAAAAAAAAAAAACATTTAAAAAATAAATAAATAAAATAAAATTAACTGTAGGCAGCAACCAACTGTTCCTTTGTAAATTTTTTATATTGATAAATTTTAAACAACAAAGAACATTTAAATATTGTGCAAATGAGCACAGCACTAATGGTGGGAATAATAATATAATTGAAAAGTTGTGAACACTGCCATAGGTCTAATAATGAGACTATATAGATCTCCTCAATTTTTATACACATATAATATGAAAAGTATGAATTTAAAGATCTCTAAAGTTCCTCTGAACTCTAAAACGTAACAATTCTGTGCATATTTTATACATCTTTCTATAGTTTTTCATAAGACTTCCCATAATAACTATTTTTCAGTAAATTTCAATTCCTACTTTATTCCTACCTCATTCAAGAAAAGTTCCATATGCAAACAGCACTGTGGAAGGCTTTAATTTACATAAGCATATTTAATGCTTACAACAACGCTGCAGTTGTAGATAATATGAAAATTAAGTAATTTGTTCAATATCTCATAGCCGGTAAGTAGAAGGGATAGAATTAAGACTGCTGGTCACATGATCCCAAAGATTCTGTTCATTTCATCAAGTTGCTTCTCTTAATATATTCACTGAGGCATGTATTAAGCATCTATTGTAACAACAGCAGGATTACTGTACTAGGTAAACATCCATTTAAAAGGACTGAGAAAATACACACTGGGACCCATAAAGCAAACTTCTCACATCAGTGTAAATACTGAAACTATGTAGGACAACAAATTAGTAAACAGGTTAAGAAAAAACAAACCTAATTTTAAAAGTGAGTGATGGAAAAACAAATAGATCTAAGTTTAGAACAATGGCAACTGACTAAGTGCTAAATGCAAAATTTTCTACCTTTTCTTTTTTTAAAAAAAAATGTTTATTTATTTATTTTGAGAGGGAGACAGAGAGCAAGCTGGGGAGGAGCAGAGGGAGAAAGATAGAAAAGAGAATCCCAAGCAAGTTCTGCACTGCCAGTGCAGAGCCTGATGCGGGCTCAAACTCACAAACCCTGAGATTATGACCTGAGCCAAAAACCAAGAGTATGCTTAACTGACTGAGCCACCCAGGGGCCCCTCTACCTTTTTGGTTTATAATCAATTCGTATTTTGGTTTGGCTTTGTGACCCATTTAGACAGATGGTTCATAATAATTTCATACTGTTTGAATGCTAACAATAAGAATTATTCCCTCTGATTTTAGAAAGCTTTTAAAGTTTTGGTGAAACTTAAAGAGAAAAGATACAGATCTTACAAACAACTTTTAGCTCACTTGGAAGAAAGTTTCTTCATTAATAATGGGAAATATTTGTTACTACCATCATATAACTCCTTCAAAGGGTAAAGGGTTATTTCCATAACTACTTGAAAAGGGGGAAATGTTAACAAATTACTTTTTAACACAAAATATTAATATCCCACTTTCTTTATTTTAAGTGTGATACACAATCAACTGAACATTCACGCAAAAGATTAATTTCAGACCTTCTCTGTTCAAGTGTTATGGGAATACAAATGAGGCTATTGACTGAGATGTGGTCCCTTGCCTCACGGAAAAAGAGATGATACTGGTGTGGGTTTCTATTTAAATAAATCAATTTAGTTCCACTTGGAAAATATCTGTGTATATCAATGTGTTTTTAGGATTACAAAAGAAATAACGCTACCATGGGTCTCACCAGAGATTTGCAAATGATTTTCAACATGTTTTATCATTTCTTGATAAGATGGTTAAGTGATGTATGCTTAAACCTTGAAAAAAAATCAAAGTGCTCCTAAAAAAATAAGTTAACGTTTCTTTGAATCTGGCACTCATATTTTTTTTTAACGTTTATTTATTTTTGAGACAGAGAGAGACAGAGCATGAACGGGAGAGGGTCAGAGAGAGAGAGAGAGGGAGACACAGAATCTGAAACAGGCTCCAGGCTCTGAGCTGTTAGCACAGAGCCCGACGCAGGGCTCGAACTCACGGACCACGAGATCATGACCTGAGCCCAAGTCGGCAGCTTAACGGACTGAGCCACCCAGGCGCCCCTGGCACTCATATTTTTGGATCAACTTTTATTTCTATAGCCAACCTCTGCTTCAGCCCCAACTTGATGCAGCAGGAGTCTAGTGTGAGGATTTAATCAAAATCTTTAGAGGTACTTGTAGCTTGAGATGATGAAAGCTAAGACATAAAACAACAATCATCTGATGTGCTGGCATGCATCCAAATTACCCAAAGTGGGTGTTTAAGTAAAGGCTCTCAGATTCCTCTCTGAGAGATTTTAATTCCACAAGTTTACTTGGCAATCAAGAACCTGTTTTTAGTCAGAATACATTTTGAGAAATGTTAGCTCCAGAAATACCATCATTGCAGAATTAGGGTTCCTATTTTTCCTTCTACCTCTGTCATTCTCAAAAGTGCCAAAAATATTACCATTTGTTTTGATATCTCTGAAATGACACTAAATGCTCATCTCCACAGTACATATCCTTCTATAATACACACCCATGCTTCTGCCAACTTCCCACCAGACAGATGAATGAATACATATCAAAGGTAGAGAGATATAGATGATAGACCCAACCACCTATTTATTTAACATACATTGAAGAAAGCAGGTATTCTGCCTACAAATCATAAAGTAATTCAAAGGCTTTAACATTTTCCTTTTATGAGACACACTCCAAAATTCCGTCTTAAAAAAATCAGAAGAAGGAAGCCACTGAAAGAAATTCCCAAAAAAATTTCTTAGAAGACTTTAGTTATTAATGATAGTAGTTAGCTTACCTGCCATCCCTCTGGGCAGCACCACCTTCTGTTACTGTTTTGACAAATATTCCCAGCTTTTCAAGCCCGGCATCTGCTCCAACACCCATTCCAATAATGCTTATACCAAGTCCATCTTCATCTATGAAAAAGGGCAAGAAAACCACAACAACCTAAGTTTTATATGTAAGTTAGCTGGTGAGACTTATTTATTGCCTTTAATTTTGTTCTTTATGGACTATAGGACATGTTTGCCTTGGCAGAATATTTTTTTTTCTATTGCTGCGGAGAAAAGATATCAAATAAGACCCCCCAAAAGGCTTGTGGGTTTAATCTCATTTTATTACTGCAAGTGGCTATTCATTGTCATCCCAAGAAAAAGTAATAATTGGATTACTGAGTAATCAATCTGCCTTAAAACACAGCCTCTCTAAATAATATTTTAAACACAAAAGCATACATACCAAAACACATATATATTACTTTAAATAAATGTGATCTTAGTATATCTAAAATTTCCCCTTCATTCATGTGGTCTTTTCCCTTTTATTTGTTTCATATCCCCATTCATGTTAGTCAGGTGGCATGTGTCTTTCATGACTTTTCCTAGTCCTACTATACAAGCATATAAAAGTATCAACAACTACAACGTATATGTATATATATATGCATAAATACAAGTACACGTACATATATGTATGTGTGCATCTATGAAATGGCTTATTTTTCCTTCCTACTTGCTTTATACAAATAAGATCACATTATACCTAGTTCTCTCTGCAGCTTAATTCTCTAATTCAATGATATATCATGGATATCAACTTACACAGCCTTAACTCACTTCTAATGATTGTATAATATATCCTGGTGAGATGGTGTCGTCACTTATCCACCCACTTCTCTACTGACAGGCATTCTCTTTTGTTTCCATGTTCCTTGCCTTGTGAGCAACACTGACAAATATGTTTTTAAATTCATTGACAATAATATGTTTATCCATATTTCCATTTGTCTTTTCTGTGAATATACATATATTCACATCAATGAAATAAAAGATACACTATTTCGCATTCCACATTTTTGGGTTAACATTCAAAGTTATTTTCTGATAGTCCCAAAGTCTTTGTAACCATTGTTGTATTAGCTAGCTGCATAGAAAAACTGACACTAACCTATTAATCAGCAGCGTGGATTGTTAAAGGAAAACTGGCTCACAGAGTCAACAGAATGCTTGACACTTTCAGAAGACTTTTTAGCAATAATATTTCATACAGTAAGTATTCTTTTTTTTTAATTTTTTTCTACATTTATTTATTTTTGAGAAACAGAGGCAGACAGCATGAGCAGGAGAGGGGCAGACGGAGAGACGGAGACACAGAATCTGAAGGAGGCTCCAGGCTCCGAGCTGTCAGCACAGAGCCCGACATGGGGCTCGAACCCACGAACCGTGAGATCATGACCTGAGCCGAAGTCAGACACTTAACCGACTGAGCCACCCAGGTGCCCCATACAGTAAGTATTCTTAATTAGCAATTTTTTCAGTAGGGTTCATCTCACTGGTTATTACTCCTTGACACCGACTTCTGCTTTAAGTGTTCCTAAGTACAATTAGTAATCCTAATCTTTATTCTACATTTTTCAAAATCATGCCACTCAGCACAAGTGTGATCTGTTTACTCAGTTGTGTGCTAAAGAAAGATTCATAGAGAGTTCTCCCTGGAGGAACTCTTTGATGTGACCCCCACATGAAGGTACTTCCACGTTGGTTAGAGGCACAGGTACCTCTCCAGTGTAGAGCTTCAGTGGTGACTAGTGCGCAAAAAACCACCGTAGACATTCCTTCAGCCCTTATGTTTAGAATGTTTGCCCACACGTGACTTCCCATTCTGATTTTATTCTCATCATGTCTCTGGTACAGATACTCACGTTCATCCAGAGGCTGCCTCTGGTTAAAAATTTTCCTACATTTGTTACAGCTTTAGGGGCTCTCCCCAGAATGAGTTTTTTCGTGAAAGGGAAACTTACATCCGTACTACAGGCCCTTCCTCACTAGTCACGTGGACAAAGTTTCTTCTCGCCCACAGGAATTCTCCTGTGTGTACGAAGGTGAGCTGCACAGCTGAATTCTTGCTCACATCCATCATACTCACGGGGTTTGCTACAGTGGGAATTTGTTCATGTTGGTGAGAGGCTGAATGGTGACCCAAAGCCTTCCCACAGTGTTTACACACATGCAAGATTTTCTCCCCAGAGCATCTGCTCTTGCTTTAAGAGCCGATCACTGTAGACGCATCCACACTAAATGATGCCATACATAGAGTTCCTCTCATATATGAAAGCTGCTACATATTAAGCATTTAGCCAAATTCTTGCTCACATTCACTATATTTATAGGAGTTTCTTTTCATTGTGAATTATCACACTGTCAAGCCAATGTTGAGCTGTAAGTGAAACTTTCCCATGCTCAGTACATTCAAAGAGCTCCTTTCAAATGTAGATTCTCTGTGCCATCACGCCATTAAGCAGCTCCTTCCTGCCACTATCCTGCATGAAAGTGATTTCTTAGTTTTTAAGTGCATTTTCCCTGCCTGAACTCAGGCTTTAGTAAAATTATCTTCCTGCCTTAGCAGCCCTTGTTGCTGTCACTGGAAAATTACACAGATTTGCAGAGCTGTAAACCCAATAGTAGAAAAAGCGGTAATAGCTTGAGCCATCCTCAATTCCAGTGCAGACTACCCGAAAGACAAGATGATAACTCAAACACAATTAAACAAAGAATACAATCAACCCACAGCGACCAGATGACTGATTTCATCCCTGTATGGCTCTCTGGGAGATGTGTCAAGCATAGGTCAAGTCCAGAGCCACATTCCTGGAAGGGCACTAATTCCTGTGGCTGTCAAGAACCCAGCAGCCGCCTGGTCTTCCTCTGCAGAGGGACAGGCAGAGCACTAAGTAAGCAGGCAAAGCAGCCAGGAAAAGATGGAAAAGACTGTGAGGATGTGTTTCCATGGAAGACGCCGGCACCATACTCTGGAGCTCAGAGCTTATTTTTTCTCTCAGGAAAGAAGCTCATGTTGGCTTAGCATTCCGCTCATTGCTCATGAAATTTCAGCTCATATTCATGGGAGCGTGGGTCATTAGATGTTTTTTTCGCTAAACTGCCAATTTTTCTACTGAGTTTTCCCTATCTTTCTTTTCTGATAATTTGCAAAGGTTCTTAGCATATTATACATATTAACTCCATGTCATCTACAATGAAGATTGCCTCTGTTTGACAATATTGCCTTTAAAAGCTTAAAATTTTGGATGATTTGATTGGACCCTCTTTTGGTTAAGCCTTTCCATCCACATGCCTACATGATTTTTGCAATCGAAGAAAGCAGGTATTTTTGTAATTGAAGAAAGCCTTAAATTTTAAGTTTTTGTCAAAATCCTTATTACTTTATTTTTAATATCTAATTAACTCATATAGAGTTATTTTTTATATAATGAAAATGAAGGTGCCCAACTTTATGTTCTTCCATTCAGATGTTCAGTTATGCCAGAACCATTTGTAAAACACCCTATGCTGTTTTTTAACTGTATTATTATTATTTTATTGATTTTCTCTTCTTTTGAGAGAGAGAGAGCACAAGTGGAGGAAGGACAGAGGGAGAGAGAGAGACAGAATCTCAAGCAGGCTCCACGCTCAGGGCAGAGCCCGACATGGGGCTCAGTCTCACAACCATGAGATCATGACTTGAGCCAAAATCAAAAGTTGGATGCTTAACCAGTGGAGCCATCTAGGTGCCCCTATTTTATTGTTAAGAAATCCACTTCTATCATGTCATAAAGACTAGGCTGGGCTAACAATAACGAGTCCTGGAGGTAACTATACCCAACTCTGGACTGTCTAGTTATAAGCACTGTCTTTTCTCTCTACCTCAGTTGAAAACCCAGACTCATAAGGCCTCAATCCCTGTTTTCCCTATTCCCGGAAGAGGCCAAAGCCAAAGCCAACTATGTAGGAGGCTTTTCCAGAGAAGACGACTTTGTCTTCCCAGACGACAAACCCTCTACTTTGCTTTATGAGGCAGATAGCAACCCCAAACCACAGACAGGTTGGGACCTGCGCAGGCCTCAATGGCATATTAGCAAATCACACATGTCATGTATTAAATTCTCATGCATACTAACATTTTTCTCTATATTTTCTATTTTGTTCCATTGATCAATTGCTATATGAATACGATTTGTTCTGATTATAGAGGCTTTACATTATATTCAGATATTTAAGAAATTAAAACCTGTCACATTCTTTTTCATACTTCCCTTAGGTCTGTATTTTCCCATATAAAATTTAGTTTTACATTATGCAATCCTCTTTCAATCCAACTCTGATATATTCCACTTGAACTGCATTAAATTTATATATTAATTTATAGGTATCAGAGGTGCAGAATAGGAGAGACTTTTCCATACTGATCTTTTCAAAAATCCAAGAATATAGTATATCCTTCTATTTGCTTACATCTTATATCTTTCAAAAATATGGATTTTCAACAGATAAATACTTTTTCCTCAGTGATTAATAAGTACTTTGTTATTTTTATGCTATTGTAAATGAAATGTTCCCATTTTCACATTTATGTTCTTAATGTAAATATAAAGAAAAAACTATTAATTTTTTTTTACATGTATGTGGCACCTGACCTCCTTTTACATATAATATTATCAATTCTAACGTGTTAAAATTAGAATCAGTTTGGCTTGTCATTACATTTAGTTTTCATTTTTATATAATTATATATAATATAAATATATAAGCAAAACATTATTTGTCATCTTTTGTTTTCTATTGTTTATACTAATTACTACATTTAAAGAGCATTCCAAATTAAACTTCTGGTTTTAACAGTCATATTTTTTGTGTTTCCTCAATTTATTTATTTTTTAAGAGTTTCTTGAATTTAAAAGTATAATTCTCTGTTGGTATTATGATCTATAGTTTATATCATATTTAGGTATTTATACACTAACAATGAACTATCAGAAAGAGCAATTAAAAAAATAATTCCATTTACAATTGCAGCAAAAAGAATTAAATACTTACAAATAAACTTAACTAAGGAGGTGAAAGATCTAGATACTGAAAGCTATAAGACATTGATGAAAGAAACTGAAGACACAAATAAATGGAAAGATTGTCCATAGTCAGGATTCAAAGAATTAATATTGTTAAAATGTCCATACTACTGAAAGCAATCTACAAATTCAATGCAATCTCTATCAAAATTCCAGTGACATTTTTCACAGAAATAGAACAAACAATTGTAAAATTTGTATGGCACCACCAAAAATTCCAAATAGTTAAAGAAAACTTGAGTGAGAACAAAGCTGGTTTTAAACTATATTTCAAAGCATTAGCGATCAAAACAGTATGGTACGGCCATTAAAAAAAGACACATAGATCCATGGAACAGAATAGAGAGCCCTGAAATAAACCTATGCATATTTGGTCAATTAATTTATGACAAAGAAGCCAAGAATATGCCATGGGGAAAGGACAGCCACTCCAAAAAGCGGTGCTGGGAAAACTGGGCAGCCACATATAAGAGAATGGACCCCTATCTTATATTGTACGCAAAAATCAACTCAAAAATGGATTAAAGACTTACATTTAAGACTTGAAACCATAAAACACCTAGAAGAAAAGATAGCAGGTAACTTCCTTAACATCAGTCTTGGTAATGACTTTTTGGATTTGACACCAAAAGCAAAAATAAGTAACTGGGACTACATCAAACTAAAAGCTTCTGCACAGCAAAGGAAACCATTAACAGAATGAAAGACAGCCTGCAGAATGGGGGGAAATATTTGATAAGGGGTTAATATCTAAAATATATAAAGAACTCATGCAACTTAACAGCAAAAAAAAAAAATCCAATTAAAAAGAGGCGGAAGAAGTGAATGGACCCTTTTCCAAAGAAGACATACAAATGGCCATCAGGTATATCAAAAGGTGCTCATCACTAATCATCAGGGAAATGCAAATCAAGACCACAATGAGAAACCACCTTATTAGAATGTTAGAATGGCTATCAGCCAAAAAACCAGAGATAACAGGTGTTGACAAGGATGCAGTGTAAAAGGAACACTTGTGTGCTGTTACTGGGAATGTAAACTGGTGCATCCACTTCAGGAACCAGTATGGAAGCTGCTCAAAAAATTAAAAATAATTGTACTTCATTTGGTTCTCTTCTAGCTTAATTTTTCTTAATTTAACTTTTATTATGAAAAACACAAATGAGAGTTTATGAAAACATTTATCTACAAAACGTGTTTAAAGAAGAAAATAAAACAAACGTCCATGTACTAACAAAGACACAGAATATTACCAACACACAAAAAGCCCACTATGCACCCCTCCCTCATATCATAACTCTTCCCTCGGTAACAATTACCCTAAATATTGTGTCAATCATTCCCTCCTTTTTTATTTTTATATTTTTATTTATTTTATAGAGAAAGAGAATGAGTCAGGGAGAGGACCAAAGGGAGGGAGAGAGAATCTCAAGCAGGCTCCATGTTCAAGCATGGAACCCGACACAGGGCTTGATCCAATGACCCAGGGATCATGACCTGAACCAAAATCATGAGTTGGACACTTAACCAACTGAGCCATTCAGGCACCCCTCACTCCCTCCTTTTTTAAATACTGCTTTTTAAAACCACTTATTTGTGTATCTCTAAACAATACACTGTTTAATTTTTCCTGGCTCTGACATTTAAGTAAATGGAATTACACTGAATGGATTCTTCTGTGATTTGCTTTTTCTCCACTTCAATTTCATGTTTGTAACAATCATACACACTGCTGCATGGAACTTAGGCTCCTTCATTTTACTCTTTTCTATCATTAATGAATATTTGAATTGTTCTCATTTTTGGTATATTATAAGCAATACAATGGCCCACGGCCAGTTCCAGCTATTTTTGTATGGGCCATAAGCTAGGATTGGTTTTTACCTTTGTAAATGAATGAAAAATGTAAGTATCACTCTTACATCCTTGCTAACTTCAAATGAGAGTGTCTCTTAATGGGAACAATTAGCCAGTCATGTTTGGTGCGATGACAGGTATTCTTTACATTTTTTTAATGCAAATAATTTGATGCCTAATAGTTACAGTTTTCAACTCTTTTTCCCTGACCTTTGCTGTTTACAACAAGTTGCACCTTGTTTCTTTTCATCGCTGCTAAGCAGTAGCATCCCTATGACCCAGCAATAGCACTGCTAGATACAGGAGTGCTATTGTGTAGGGGCACTTGTACCCCAATGTTTATAGCAGCACTTTCAACAATAGCCAAATTATGGGAAGAGCCTAAATGTCCATCAATTGACGAATGGATAAAGATGTGGTTTATATATACAATGGAATACTACTTGGCAATGAGAAAGAATGAAATCTGGCCATTTGTAGCAATGTGGATGGAACTGGAAAGCGTTATGCTAAGTGAAATAAGTCAGGCAGAGAAAGACAGATACCGTATGTTTTCACTCATATATGGATCCTGAGAAACTCAACAGAGGACCAGGGGGGAGGGGAAGGGGGGAAAAAAGTTACAGAGAGGGGAGGAGGCAAACCATAAGAGACTCTTAAATACTGAGAACAAACTGAGGGTTGATAGGGGTTGGGGGAAAGGGGAAAGTGGGTGATGGGCATTGAGGAGGGCACCTGTTCGGATGAGCACTGGGTGTTGTACAGAAACCAATTCGACAATAAATTATATATATTATATATATACATACATATTATATATTATATATTTAATATATATTATATTAAATATACAAATTAAATAATATATTTAATTTATATATTTATATTTAACATATATTTAGATTTAGATTTAATAATTATATATTAAATAAGTATTAAATAATATATATTATTATAATATAATATATAATTATATATAATATAATTATATATAATATACATATATATACATATATACATATGTGTATATATAAAAGAAAAAAAAAGAAGATGAGGATTTAGCCACGCTTAAGCGTGGGATGTTTTTTAAGTCCTCTCACTGCTCATCAATTGGTTAGGCCCTTCCAAATAGGAGGCTCAGGTTTTTTTTGAGCTCAGGAAAATTTCTTCCTTGTTTTGTCTAATATATCTCTCATCCCCTTCTTTTCCCCTTCTGTCACCTACAATGTGCACGTTGGGTCTCCTTCGTGATTTCTCATGGACTTTTTTTCTATCATTTTAAGAATTAGTTTGGTTTATTTCTTACACTTGACCTAGGCTACCAGTTTGAGTCTCAACAATACCATCTTTTCCTCTTCAATTCCTCCACTGAAATTTTTAATTTTAAAATCGTTTTTGGGGGTGCCTGGGTGGCTCAGTAGGTTAAGCAGCTGACTCTTGATTTTGGCTCAGGTCATGATCTCACGGTTCGTGGGTTTAAGCCCCTCATCAGGCTCTGCACTGAAGTGTGAAGCCTGCTTGGGATTCTCTCTCTCCCCCTCTCATTCTCTCCCCCTCCCCTACTTTCTCTCTCTCTCAAAATAAATAAATAAACTAAAACAAAAAATCGTTTTGGTTGTTGCTTTGCTTAAGAATGTCTTTTTTTAAGCCATACTTGATATCCTCATTTGGTTTTTCATTTGCTTCATTTTGTTATTCAAGCTGTCATCTGTTTGTTCTGCTTTCTTCCAAGACTTTCTGAGATATGCTATCTCCCTGTTCACTGGGTCCCCCTCCATTCCTGGGTGCCCATCTTACACGAGGATAGACATGGCAGTCTCTGGGGCCATGGGTCCTCACTTCCCACCGCAGGCAGGCTGGGTTTCCAAGAGGAGAAATTGGGAGGAAGCCCCTTGGCTCCCATTCTCCCTGCTCTCTCTTAGCCCTCTCCCTTCAGAGATAAGATTCCACTGCCTTCATTCCAAAACCCATACTCTAAAAAGTCCAACACTCTCCCATCTACCACATTCAGAGTCCAACCATGACCACTCTCCCTCCGTCAAGAACTCAAAAACAAAAACAAAACAACCACCTGCCCCAAGCGCTCACATCCACCCACTCCCTCTGGACTCTCACCCTTGTAAGGGTACCAACCAAACATGAGGCCCTACCCACACCTCCCTACACTAGTTACCATTCCAGCCAACTAAAGCAGATGGGTTTCTGCTGGGAGTGGGAGGGAAGAAGGAGTCTACCATCTATACAGAGCTCATCTCAACTACTTTTGAAATGTAATAAATAAATTAAATCTTCCATGAGAATTAAAACTTTATCCAACCCTTGGGGGTAGAAGGGCTACAGGTGAGGAAAATAAAGGCATTTCTGTATTATTAAAATAGCAATATAATGACATTACAAACATTGTAGAGCTCATATACCTTTTTCTAGTTCCACTGGGAAAAGTTCCAGCTTTTCTACACGCTTTTCAAGTTCATACTCGGCAGAAGCAGCCACAGGGTCCACTTCATCGTTTCTCCTGTCATAGTCTTCATTGGAGTATGTGCTGAAAACCTGTAGTAAGAGGTCACAAGAAGATGATAATCCAGAAAAGATGGCTTTCTTAATTTTTTTAAGAAACCCTGCTAAGTATTGAAAACCAGGTAAGTTAAAAGTTCTGTACAATGAGATGTTAAGAAAAGGAAAATTGAATTCGAATAAAAATAACTTACATTTTAAAATGTATATCATTCTACCACCTTTAATAATGTGGGAGACAACAATAGCCACAGGATGTATTATCTGAATAGCAAAATTCATTGCTTTTTATAGAATCAGAGTATATCATATTAGCTGCAAGGCTTTGCTGGTTCCTGAAGAAACTATGGTGAAGGGCCTTGAAGCTACCTAAGCAAATACCCACATTGAACCCGTTTCATGCTATGACGTATACAAGCATCGGTGTTGTGGTACGTCACTACTATAATTATATTTCAATCACAGAATCACTGAAACCGACTTCTTTCTATACTGTGCTGAGCGAGGTTAAGCTCTCATTTTCATCTCTTATTTTACTTGAATGTATATCCAAATTAGATTCTCATTGAGCCTTTCAATGAAACAACTATCAAAATACTGCTCACGAGCTGCAGAGAACTAGGATATTGCCAGCTCTTTCTTTCTCACCTAAATCATCTGAAAGATTACTAAATGTGGTCTTCAGATATAGCCATAAGAAACTTGATTGTCCTTATTTACTCTATTTGAAAAGTAGCTGGAAATAGGTATACTATCCTTCACTTACTTCACTGAGGAATATCTAAAAGAAAGAAATGTATGTTCATCAATCTAATTAATACGTATTATAAAAACTGACATTTTCAATTAAATTTAATAATTATTAAGCATCTAAACTATACCTGAAAAAAACTCTGTAATGTCCCCAAAAGCTTAAAATCTAGGAGAAGGCTTTTTGTCAATAAATATACATAAAAAGTCATAATCAAAAAAGAAAGCAGAACAGAAGGTCAGAGATGAAAGAAATCAAGTATGTCACCTAGAAAGTTGGCCTTGCTGGTCCAGGTGTGTTTTACATTCATATTATCGGAAAACTGGCAACTCTTGTATGCTATCTATGGTAACCTATAAACCAGAAATACATGTATATATAGAAGCAGATGCGTGGTTCCTATGGTATAAATTTATCAAAATCATGCCATTTATAATATTTGTACCAGGATGAATACCGTTTTTCTTCCCGACTTTCAGCATGTTTTCATGGCCTCGTGCCACTCATTTGGTCTCTACCACATTTCTCCACCATGATAAACATCACTGCATCAAAATGCATATTTCCAAACTATAGGGTTTGTACCTTTTTTATTAATCTTTTCATAAACTATGCTTCCTATGCCCCTTCCACAGAACCCTCTAATCTTTTTCTTAAGTTGTCAGATTGATAACATTCTCTTAGACAGCCCTTTTGATCTTTCACTTCCCTTATAAGTTTTGGTAATCGCTTATTCACATTTTATGCATCCATCAACAATTTACTGAGTGCCAGCTCTATGCCAAGCACTGTGCTGGACACTGGAGAACTCACAGGTTAGTGGGGACACAGAAATCAAAGTAAACAGCTATACTATAATGTGATAAATGATATAACAGAAGTTTATACCAAGTAATCTTTCTCATTTGCCTGAGAAAGGGAAGAATTTCATGAAAGGGAAAATATTTAAGTCGTTGGGTCTTTTTTTTTAAATTTTTTTAACGTTTATTCATTATTGAGAGACAGAGAGAGACAAAGCATGAGCGTGGGAGGGGCAGAGAGAGGAGGACACAGAATCTGAAGCAGGCTCCAGGTTCTGAGCTGTTAGCACAGAGCCCGATGCGGAGCTCGAACTCACAAACCACGAGATCATGACCTGAGACGAAGTCAGACGCTTAACCGACTGAGACACCCAGGTGCCTCTAGGTTGAGTCTTAAAGAATAAACAAGGATTCATATATTCGAGTGTAGAAGATGTAGACTGTTTACTTCAAATATAAGATCCTAGACAAAATAATCCTTATCTATATCTATATTTTTAGAAACATAGAGAGTTGAGCGGACTACAATGGAACATGCCTAGGGGAGCAAACTTTAACAACACACAAAAAGTTACCTGGATCTGGAGCTTACATGTCCTGGAAACTACTGGCAGATATGACTGGAAATTATTCCATTAATGTTTGCTACTTCTCAAAATCTGCTAAAGATCCAAGAATATATAGATGATTGCAGAACTTGGATTTAAATGATATCCATTCTGAAACATGGCTCAATTTTGCTACCACATAGTAATTAAAGTAATTAAGTTAATAAATGTGTGTGTGTGTGTGTGTGTGTGTGTGTGTGTGTGTAAAATATAAGTATGGGAGAACTGTTTCAAATAAATTAACACGTTCCTAACATTTTTCAGGATCCCAAAACTCTCTGCTATCTCAACTGTTCTTCTTCAATCAGGCTGGTTTAAAAAGTTCATTTGGGGGTATCCGGAAACTAAATAAATAACTGTATGACTCCATATTGGAAAATGGTATTTTAAATAATTTTTGAGGCATCTAGCAATCAGATGACTATATCACTATTTCATTCTGTAGAAAAAAAATAATGTAAGACACTTTTCATCTTCAACTTACTCATAGTGTGGTAAATTATGTGGGTATATAGGAAAAACCTATAAACTGAAAAAGAAAAGCCAGAATTCACTACGTACAGATTTAGCTATCATTTACTTGAAGAATCCAAAAGATTTAACATAAACATGATTAGGACTAAAAAGAGCTCACTAAAGAAACATAATAAAAAATACACACACAAAAACACAAAAAATAATTCAGAAAATATAACAGAAAAGATCAGAAACTATAAAATACCCAGGAATTACTAATTATAAATGTGCAAGGATATCCTTCTCTATAAAATTTAACTGAAAAATATAAAAACCCTAAATATGTGTAATGGCATACTATATCCTGGATAAAATTCTTAATATTGCAAAGGCATCTACACTCTTAAATTACTGTAAATGTTAGTTTGGCCCAACTTAATTTATGAATACGGAGCAGTCAAAATTAAAATCCCACTCACATTTTTCATGGAAAAACTAACAAGCTGCTTGAAAAGAAGAATAGGATGGAAACAGACCCTATGAGACATCAAACATACAATAAAACTTCATTTATTCAGGCAATGAAGTTTTGGCCCCAAGGTAGATCTATTTTTGTATTCTCTTCGGTTCTACTCCTCTACTTCTCTATTCAAATTAGTTAGGGTAATATATTCAATAAATAGTAGGGAAAGAATGAAATATCTATCTGATAAAAATCCTATTTCATATCAATAACAAAAGTAAAATTTAAAGTGGTTAAGAACAAAAAAAAGTATAAACTATAAAAGGACTAAAGAAAATATGGACAATGTTTAATTGACTAGATCCTCTTAGGATGTTGCTACAAAGCCACAGATCCTAGAAATTTAAAAGAAATGAATAAACTATTTGATTAAAATTCAATGCTAAAAATTTCTAGACAACAAATATACCATAATGAAATTATAAGAAAAGTTAAATATTAGGAGGAAAAACTGCCAAATAACAAGATGAAATATGAATATGCATAATATACAAAGAGCTTTACCACCTCAAACAACTGCATGTATAAGTAGGGAAAATTTTAATTAGAATTCAACAAAGAAACATTAATGCTCAATAAATGATGTAAAGTCACTCAGCTTCACTAAAAATTAAGCAAACGTCAAGTACAACAAGGAAATACCAGGAATTTGCCCAAAAGAATGGTTTAAAAAAAAAAGACTGTGATGTCTACTCTTTGTGAGAATACAGGAAAAAGAATACTCTTGTAAAGTAGGGGGGAATAAAAACATAATTTAAGAACAACTATCAAGATTTTAAATGTAAATCCTTTGACCCAATAATGCTACATCTATGTATTTAGAGAGATATTTGCAAATGTGTACAAAGATGTTCATGCAAGCGAGTTCATTACAGCACTATCTGTAATAGCCCAAAGTTGGAAATTGCCTAAATGTCCACTGATAAAGAAAATGTCTTACTGAATTATGATACATATGAATATGTAACTTTATGCAAGGTTAAAAAGATCTCTGTTGACATGAAAGGCTCTGAAATACATGCTATTAAAACAAAAAAGCACACTGTATATATGTCAATCTATACCCACATTCATATCTTTATCTACACACACACACACACACACACACACACACACACACACACACACATATATATAGTCTCAATTGGTATGAGCCCAATTTTAATCTAATTTAAAGACTTCCTAAATTCTCTAGCTATGTAGCTCGTCTCAGTTTCCTTATTTACAAAATGGCTGTTATTATAAGTATACCTACCCCATAAAGTTATGAAAATGAAATGGGAAAATCCACGTAACCATGCCTGCTGGTCCAGTGTGGAGGAGGGAAAGCTTGCCCGGGGCAATGTAAGAGGTAACACTACGTCCCCAGATACCCACACTCATCTCACATTCTTGTTCATAACTACATTTTGAATATTTCATCCACTATGATACTTAATGTCCCTGAAACCAAAATCTACATAACTATTTGGATATTATTACACAGATTGGTCTGGCAAAATCCCTACCTAGGTCCAGAACAACAGCACTACCTCTACCCAATGGCTCCTCACTTGCCTGGCTTTGTTTGCCTTGACCAGGAAAAACCTCAGAGATAAAAGGATGTTGACTTAGGTAAATACTTCCCCTTACATCAATATGATCCTGATTCTTTCAATATTCTTAAAATGGTTCTATCATTTCTATTTATATTACCATAACTGCTTTGCAAAAATATGGATAGTCAAGTAATAATCAGAACCCAACTATGATTATTACTAGAATGCCAAAAACTCTAAAGGCTAACAGCCTTTAAGAGCCTTAACACCTTGGGCCCTAATTTTCAACACCATCACTACATATATATACTATATAGTTCTAAATATATAGTTCACCACTATATATATTTAGTTCAGTCA